GAAAGGTAACCCGTGAAACACGGGCCCGTTCGAGTTCAAAATGAGGTTTGTCTCAAGCCTCGACGCAGTTTCAACGAGTCGTGATCCGAGTAGGTTCGAACTCTTTTCAAGCCGAGTCGAGCCGCGGGCTGCTCAAGTCAAGGAGCCGGATTGAGGTCCCTGCATTCTCCCAAGCGAGAGAGAGAGGAAGAGAAGGGAGAAGCTTAAATGGCGCCAAAAGTAGGAAATGAGAACCAACGAAACGTGAGAAAATTCCTCTTATCATCCATGTGAAAAAATGGAGGAAAAATCAACTCATTTTTGATAATTTCTTCTTTCATCATCATCCTCTCTCAATTTGGAATTCTAGCCATGGCTGCACATCACCAAATCGTCTGGGTCTCTTCGTAAAGGTACCATGATTATGTTAATCATCTTTAGCCAAGATGTGCTGTTATTGATTACATTGCCCATGTTATGTCAGTGAGCATTTTAATTTTCCTACACAAAAATGCGGAATTTGGGTGTTTAATCTTGATTTCTAATTTCTGTTCCCTGTGCCTGAATTTGGAAATTGATCTATTTGTCCATTATTTACCCGTATGATCTAGACGAAAATTGCATTGCTCCTTATTAAATTTAAGAAGGATCATAAAGTCAGAAAGATTTAGATATCACGAATATGTCGAATCTAAGTTATCTAATATATTGATATACAATTCCATTTTGCATATACATTTCCTGTTTAATAGGACCCTATTTCGTTTGCTGTTTTTGTTTTTCATTGGGAAAAAAAAATATGATTTTTTGTTGAATAACCAAAGGCGTAATAGAATCTGGTCATCTACCAAGTGGATTTTGAGGATTATACGCTAATACGGTCTAGCAAAGGAGTATTAAGGTGAAAACCTTTATACAGGCATTAGAAAACACACTCTACCCTAGAGAATTTTCCCCTAAGAATATCGAACTTTTAAAGTAATCTTCAAGGAGTTCCCTTTACGGACGGTGTCATCAAAACAATGCTTGTGTTGCATTTTGTGCAGGTATTGCAAGAGAAAAGGCCTAAATACAATTAGTTTCCACGGAGGAAGGAATTATTTTAACTTTGAAAGTATGAAGCGCCCTTTAGTTCTTCATAACCATCTATTGCTTGAACTGTTCATATTACCTAAGATAGTTCCATTAAAGTTAATGCTATATAACTGTAATCAATATGTCAAATTCTAATATCTTCTTTGAGCAGATAGGCTTAAAATTCCCTTTGAAAGAAATCTTACATAAATAGAGTAAAAACTGCTTCTATCTTAACTTCTACTGTCTACCCACTTGCTTCGTTAGCTTTTGTTTAAGGAACTTGTACTTCCAGTATTGAGCTGTTTCTTGCGCAGAAAGTAACCATAGCTCGTTTTTGACGTACAATTATCAAAAAAATTGGGCTCATGTATTCTGATTAGAGCATCAAATGAATATTTTAAATTGATCTTTGAGATTGCTAATATTGATTTAACAATTTGAATCAGGTTTGAAATTCAACAAGCTCGAGCATCAATTCTATTGTAGCTGAAGTTAGTACTGCAGGCATTTTTTTTTTCATATCAGATGGGAAAGGATGTACAACACCAACCCTCAAGCATATCTTTTCAAAATAACAGTCCAGGATGTATGTGGAATATACTCCATCATATTAACAACTATAGGTGGCATCATGCCAGGAAAAGGCTCACTAATAAGAGTTATGATGCGGGTAAACATGCTACTGGTGGGGAATTTTTTATCCCATTCATTGTTTTCTTCTACTGAATATTTGTTTTCACATTAGCAATCTGTGATAGTACATTTCTGATTCTGATTGTCTTAGACTAAAATACTTAATTCCTTTATGAAGTGGTTAGAGATTCAGGGGGCAGCACAACTACATCGGGTGCTGGTGAAATGCAAGAAAACCTCGATGCTACAGTAAAATTTTCACCTGTATGTTTAAATTCTTTATTGTTTTGTATTGATCTTCGTTATCTTCTTCTATTGCAAAATTTGTTCTCCTTTTTCAGTCATTTTCACCAAAATCTGGTTTCCACAGAAAATGTAGCTCAAAATGCTAAGATGAAGACAAAAAAAATTTCTTGATCTTAGTTGTGAAGGTGATTAAAAATTTGTTTTCAAATTTTTATTAGGTTGAAGGGAATTTGACAGTGTCTGGCTCAGTACACAAAAGCTCAACGAAATCTAGAATAAAGGCCTTGATAACTGAACAGGTTAAAAGAAGGGGTCGACATCGCCGGAGTTCTTCTGACCCTATTCGAAAGCAACTGGGACGATCTGCTTCCATTCATCATCTAGAACTTTCTGATGTCGACCCACCTGCCAAGATTGCTTTAGATGGTGAGATAGTGGGAAATCAAGATAATGCGCAGTCCTCTATTGCTGGTTCATCAGACCCATTCCTGGAAAAGTTCAGTGATGAAACAGCTAAAATGCTTGGCTTGAATTACCAGAAGCAAACTGAGGATGATAAGCAGTGGAAACAACCGGTTGGGGATCATAATCTTCTCCAGGGCAAGTTGACATCCCAAGAGTTGAAATTATTTCTAGATGCTTTAGATTCACTTAACATGAGAGAAGAGTTGTTCATGAAAATTTTACAAGATCCAAATTGTTCATTCGCAAATCATTTACACGTTAGGTGGAGGTCAAGTTTAAGGTTTGGACTAACCAAATCTGTGTCATTTCCCGTGGCTAGTTCATCAGGGAGAATAGATACCAAGACCAATTTTATACCAGAAGAAGAAGATAATGAAACATATGCAAAAGACTTCAACAAGCATTTGTTGACATCAAGAGGTGCATTTATGGAAGATGCTATACCCGAAAATTTTCATCCTAGTTCTGCACATGCCCTCAAGAAACGCCATGAGAATAAAGTTGTCATGAAGCGCTTCAAGAATCTTAGAAAAAAGCTAAAACATGCAATCTGGGAGAGCAAAAATGAGAAACAACGAATCGTGATGGATGCGGTCCTTCATAAAGTTCCTTACGGTCGGCGAGTCTCCAAGGAAGCGAAGGAGGATACTCACATGCATAACAGGCCAGTCATAGACGAATCTAGTAAATACAGTCAGGGGAGCGATCAATTTGATTCTGGTGTTGGCAAGAAAGTCCTGCAAGACATCAATAACATATCATCTTTTAATGAATCATTAGATAGATATAGTCGATTACTGGAGACCAGTTTCGGAAGAGAAGAAAAACATCACATTTCTGAAAAACCAAGGTTGAGAACAAGAACACCTTCACCTGTTGGGACAAGTTCTACTGCTACTCTGGCTAGGATTCTCTCACTTCCTGATCTCAGGTCCTACTCTTATTTTCCAAGCGACGACTCTCCCGGTGCTAGTTCTTTAAATGCACTGCTTGATAATTCCGCAGGGAACGTATCGATAGTAAGTAATCAGCCTGGTGAAGAAAGGTCTTTAGTTCAAGATTCGGAGACTAAAATTCTACCAGACACTGTTTCAGAAAGTGGAAATCAAGAATACCTATCAGATGTTATTGAGACATTTGATGACATTGGTAATTTGGGAACAACGAAGAAATCATCTTCCCATGATGTCAATTTTGAGCACAGCTTAAGTTCTTCTCAGGTGGGAAAACTAAATCCAGTTTTTGAGCACAACTCACACTATCCAGAGGATGAAATTGGCCCCGATCATCCCATGTCAATAACAAAAGGTTACATTCTCTTTAAGCTTTGTTTTTTTTAGCAAAAATGGTTTTAAAATTATGACTATTGCTGAAGAAAGTGGACCAATTCATCATGTAATCTTTTTCCTTTTAAAACACTATTTAGACAATTTTGACAAAAATATTTAATAAGCATACATGTCAACTGGTTAAGTATTAATCTTCATGGAGTTGAAGAAAATGCATGTGTGGGTTTGTACGCACTTCTCCAGATGCATAATCCATTTATTTACATCACATGAACACACGAGTGTATTTGCATGAATGCTACTCTGATAACAGTCATTGCACGTTATGATTGTTAGTCCGGAAATAATTTAGAATCTAAAATTTCATAGACTAATTGAAGGGAAAAAGAAAAAAGAACTAGGGAAAACATCCCAACAATTGCCAAACACTTAAACTTCTATTGAAAATTGTTTGAGCTCAAAGTACCTGACCACCCACATAGACACCCCAAAATGGGTAATACTCATGTACTTATGTCACAGAGAAATGAGAGACAATATTAGTTACAATAATTATAGGAAGAAAATGAAGAATAGATTAAATGGGAGATCTTCAAAGTATTAAAAGCCCCTAGCCTTATTTTTATTGGCAGGGGTTAGATAATACTCTATACTTTATCTTTGATCATCACGTTGTAGTAGAATTGCGATTGTCCTGTTTTCTAATAGAATCCGACTTTGATGTACTCATGTTCAGGATTGATACTGAATCAACTGTTTCCTACCAGAGAGGATTCTTTGGCTATTCAGCTGCATGGGCCGAGCTCATATTTTTCTATTGTACACGAGAATACAGTTGACACTAATAATGTGGAAAGCATAGTCGAGGAGTTCTACAGCAAACTATTATATACTCAGGAGGATACAAAAAACAAATCTGAATTCAATTACGTAAGAGATGTACTAGAACTATCTGGCTTCAGTGGCAATGAGATCCTCGGGAAATGGCATTCTATCAAGCAGCCAGTAGACCCTTCAGTGTTCGAGGAAGTTGAAGGGTGTTTGATTGATCAACCAGTCTGTTCTGGGAATGAAGAAGGTGGTGTCTGTAATCATCTTCTCTTGTTTGATTTAATTAATGAGGTTCTCTTGGATATATATGAGAGATCATTTTCTTACTGGCAAAAGCCATTGACTTGCCAGTCTCATATCCATCGAATGCCCTTTGGTTACCATGTTCTAGAGGAGGTTTGGGCGGACGTAAGTTGGTACTTGAGCTGGAAACCCGAGGTTTTCCTAACGCTTGATGATGCTGTGAGACGGGATTTAGCAAAAGTGGATGGTTGGATGAACCTCCAATTTGATGCTGAATTTGTGGGTCTTGAAATGGAAGATCTAATATTTGATGATCTTCTCGAGGAACTCATCTTCGACTGAATTTGTATTCGGATCAGGTTTTTCTTCAAGCAACTATCTTCTCATAACTCAAGTACAAATTTTGTCCTTAAATTATCATATTGTGAGTAATCATTCATTTGAGTATGTAAAAATTAGGCAGCGAAGTTAGGAAAATTAAGTTATTTGACAAAATCCCTCCATGTTGTACATTTTGTAAGGGATATGATTGTAGAAACTAAGAATGTAAAAAGAAAAATTCTTGGATTGATTGTGTATCAAGAATCTTGGATGTAAGCATTAAAAAACAATTTTCTATTAGTTGATGGAAAATTTTGACCTCTTTAATAGTACTTGGCCTGAATTGAGATTTGTTATCCATTTATACTGTCCATTCAATTATAAATTGACACATTATGAAAAATTAAAATTGATGTTAACGTTGGAAAATTTAAAATTAATGACAACTTTAATTTTTTGTAATGTGTTAATTTGCAATTGGGTGAATGGCAAAAATGGATAGCGGATCTCAACAGCACCCTCTTTATATTCTGTCATCTTTAATAATACCTGTAAGCATCCTCTTTAATGTTCATCAACTGTCCATTTAATTTTCCATGGAGGAAATTTCTTCAAAAATAAATATGAACATTAAAGAGGATGTGATTTTCGGGGCTCGGGATATGACTGTGCCATGGGAAATGGCAATTTTTAGTCTTTATATGACGAAAGTCAGAATAATTTCTTTATTTTCAATGTATTAGACAAACTAGCCCGTCTAGCTCAGTCGGTAGAGCGCAAGGCTCTTAACCTTGTGGTCGTGGGTTCGAGCCCCACGGTGGGCGTTTTATTTTTCTTATTTTTTGGAATGTCCGTCAAGTTCTATACCCTTTTGGCAAGATTGACATGATGATTCCTTGTATAGTTTACCTTACAAAATGTGCCAAGGATACAACTTTTTCATATTTAGCGCCGGTTTCATATCTATTATTTTTAAAATATATTTTTTCCACTTTTATTTTAAACCATACATTTTTCAATAAAATGACATTATACGCAAACTTAATTTTTTTTATTTTATTTTTAACCACACATTTTCTAACAAAATACTATTTCAAAATACATTTTGGACAAAAAAAAATTGAGACTCAAGCATGCGATTATCTACACTCACAAGTTACAGTGCAAATATCTAGTTTCTAGATTTCGTGAAATCAGCAATGTAAAGGGTTAATTATGCTGCGAATTGCTATTGAAAGTTTGAATAATTACAATTGTCACTCAAGTTTTTAACTATTACAACAAAGCTCACTCTATAAAAACTTTCACACTAAATCATATGTGATGCCATTAAGTGCCACTAAACAACATTATTTATTACGTCAAATCAGTAAAATTAGAACCCAATAAGTTGAGTTGAGAAAACGTAATGCAACTTTAGTTTGGATCAAAATTTTAGATTAAATCTTATGGTAAACCCACGTTTTTTAAAACAATTAGTGGTGGCTTGACATAATAAATAATGTCGTTTGATGACACGTTGATATTTAACGACTCCAAGTATCAATCGACTGACTGCTGTTGCAACGAGTAGAAACTTTGAGTGACTATTGATAGAATTACTCAAACATCAATGATCATTGACATGATAAACCCGCAATTTAAATTTATTCTCAATAAATTTGATAACGAGTAATTTTGGGTCTCTGTGTTCGTTCAATCATTCACTATTACAAAGCAAATTATGCAACCAAATAATTTATAAGCATAGTATACTATGAATTTCACAAACTCGTTACAAAAGAATTAGGAGAGCCATCAAAAGAGGTAGAAAGTGATGTTTACTCATTGGCCACATAAAAAGTGATTCCACATCCACTTCAAACGGAGCAAGTTTATTCATACCCCACCTTAATATGGGTTCTGAAAGTCTTCGCCCTTTATTCTCTTCTTACGCAATTTGCTTTGGCCTTTGGCACTCAACCCATGTGAAGGCTGAAAAAGGGAATGATTTTCGGATTTTTAATTATGCATTGAGAGCTCAATGGAGGTATATAGAGCTTACA